AAAAGAGGTAATGAAGAGCTCATGCGTACAGTGCAGGGATAGCCAGGATAAGGGCTCAAGGCAGTAACAAGTTGGCACAACTGTGAGGACACTGGATAGCCAGAGAGGCTGGGTCACTAGTGAGAAAAGATAATAGTACTTGAGGGACCAGGTAGAGGGGTGTAATTGAAGTGGCGGAGGCTGTTGTGCTAGTTGCTATTAAATGTGATGGTAAAATCTACATGTGGGAGCTTGTCTGGAAGTGATAAGAAAAGCTAATTTTTTCTGTGAATAGATAAGGCAAATAACAGGGAGTTGGCTGGGAGTTGAGCCCTTGGAGCCAACTGCACAACAATAGTGAGATGGCAATTTGGTTTTGTGACACATAGAAAAGGTGGGTAGAAAGAGGAAAGGCTCTACACTGAATCCTGTTGCTGGAGCAGAGATGTCGGGTACCTGGGGAGACCCATGGGGACAGCACCAGAGCCTGAAAAGTTGCTGCCAAGGAAGGGGGAAGACATCTGGAAGAATGTGAAGACCCAGCAGCCAAGGGAAGAAGATATTTCTAGAAAGGGAATTAGGCATTATTATATAGGCTGGGGTAAAAACCCAAAATGAAAATGGTTTTGGTGTTTTGGGTTTTTTGTTGTTGTTGTTTGTTTGTTTGTTTTTTAAAATCAGTCTTGATTTCTTCATCAGTGAACAATAAAAAATAAATTTTTATTAATTTTTTAGCTAAATTTATTAGCAGTTTAGTAAATACATTCATTAAAATAATATATTTTATTAATTAATTTATGTATACTCAATGTTTTAAAATATTTGTTATTAACTAAGTTTTCATGTCTCTGAAAATGCAGCTCTTTTTTTGTAACTAGAAACATACTCCATAATTACCCTGTAGCTCAAATGGTCCCCAATTTAGGATTTTTCAACCTTTTCAGTGGTGCAAAAAAAAGCATTATACATTCAGTAGAAATGATACTTTAAATTTTGAATTTGTATCTCTTCTCTGGCTAGTGATATGTGGTCCCATCCTCTCTCCATGCTGGGCAGTGGCATTGGCTACAGCTCCCAGTCAGCCCCACATGGTCACCAGGGGAAACAACCCACACTCCACAGTGTCCTGTGTTGCTCAGCCAGAGTGTTCAGTGTATTAAATGTGTTTTTGACTTAAGATGGTGTACTGGGATGTAATCCCATCATAAGTTGGGAGCATCTACACTGAGAGGACACAGAAACTAATAATAACATTTTTAAATAATCTATTTGGCTCTCAGATATTACTGACTTAGTTTAGGAATTGGAGAGCACTTTATGTTAAGGACCAGATAATAAAGATTTTCAGCTTTGTGAGAAATACAAATTCTGGGTAACAGCTATTTAACTCTGTGGTCATACCACTAAAACAGCCATGGAAAATGTGTAAAGGACTGAATGTGGCTGTATCTCATGAAACTTTTAATTCCCTAATAGGCAGCTAGCCATATTCAGCCAGTGGGCTGTAACTCCATGAACTCTCAATGCTTTAATAATCATAACCTTTAGGAGTTGATCAAACTATAAAGTACTGTTTTGATTTTTTTTAAAAAAGGAAATTACTTCATTTAATACTTTATTTTTTTAAAAAAAACTTTGTAAACTGTTAGATTTTATCAGTCTTATCCTCAAAATTTTTATTATGTGATGTATGCTGTATTCTTGATGTAGTCAAAATTTGTAGACAGACTGCTCCCCCCACCACACTACCTTCTGCCTCATCTACTAGCTTCAGCCTAACTGCTTTAAATCCTTTGCCATGAGTATGTCCTCTGAATAATGAATTTCTTAAGTTCCTAAGATTAATGGGACATTTTTTAACCATGAATAAAATGCAGATATGTAATATATACAATATATATCACATTCACCATGAGTAAAATATGCTACTCTACCTCTTACTATAACTTCTTTGTCCCACTTTAAGTGCTTATCTGTTCTTAGGATTGAATAATCTATTCACAGAAACTATTATGTGTTATGTCTGCCCCATAAGGAAGACCTAAGTAAAACTAGCTTGTTTTCATGTAGCTATTGATATCCCCAGTCTTGATGTCTTCTCAGTTCTCTGTTCTTTCAACATAGGGCCATTGCTTTTCCTGAGAACAAAACAGCCCATCATGTAGACCATTCAACCATGAAATAATAGCCTTTCCACCAAATGGTGCTGGGACAACTGAGAAACAGTGAAGTTGGACCCCCAAACCATATACAAAACTTCACTCAAATAGATTGTAGAAATAAATATGAGAGACAGAAATATAAAACACTGAGAATAAAACACAGAAGTAAAATCTTCATGATCTTGAGTTAAGCAAAGTGTTTGTAAATATGACACCAAAAATATAAATGATGAAATACAAAGTATATTTTTTTGCTTCACAGGCCACCATTAAGAAAATGGATAGACAACCTTCACAGTGGGAGAAAAAGATTGCAAGTTATATATCTGATAAGGGACCTGTATCCACTCAATAATGAAAAGACAAATGGCCCAATTTAAAAATGGGCAAAGGATTCAAATACACATTTTTGAATAACACATATAGTTAGCCAATAAACATATGAAAAGATGCTCAATATCATTAGTCATCAGGAAAATTCATATCAAAACCACAATTAGATACCACTTTAAACCACTAGCATGACTATAATCAAAAAGACAAACCACAACAAGTTTTGGTTAGGATGTGGAGAAATTAGAACCCTTAGTCACTGCTGATGAGAATGAAATGGTGTGGGCACTTTGGAAAACAGCCTGGCAACTCCTTTCATTCATTCATGTGTGTGTGTTTGTGTGTGTGTGTAATGAATCTCCAAAAGAAATGAAAGCATTACATTAAAGAAGCCAGTCACAAAAGCCCACCTATTGTATGGTTCCATTTTTTGTAAATGTCCCCAGTAGCTAGAGACATTTTATAGAGGCAGAAAATAGACTAGTGGCTGTCTGGGTTGGAGTGGGAATTAAGGGCTGGGTAGTGATTGCTAATGGGTACAGAATTTCTTTTCTGGGATGATGAAAATGTTCTGGAATTAGATGGTAATGATGATTGCATAATGTTGTGATTATACTAAAACCATTGAACCATAAACTTTAAAATGGTGAATTTTATGGTATGTAAATTATGTCTCAATAAACTATTATTTTTAAAAAATAAAATGGCCTTTAATTTGCCTTTGTGACTTTGAAAGATTAGGGTGAGACATATCTTTTCTTTCTTGCTTCAACCTGAGCTTTGCTTACAAGCCTAGATGACATGAATTTAGTAGACTTGGTTGAGTCCCTAGTGAGCAATTTCCCAATTGCCCAAGTAATACTATGTTCAGGCCACAGCTTCTGCTAAGGGGCCACTTAGGACCAAGAAACAAAGAGTGCTGTTGGTCTCAGTGAGAAGTTTCGTAGTGTGAAGACTGAGGGCATTCACAAAGCAGTGAATAATGATAAACACTTATTATTTTAGAACATTTAATATTAGGTTAACTTGTTTATTAAGTGTAGAGATAATTTAAGAAAGTGTATCAGTCAAATGTATTTAAAAAAACATAAAGAACTGCAAAACATTGAATTATTTCTCAAGATTCTCTAAGAAGTCAATTCATATGTATATTAGTATATTGCTGTATGCACTGTGCCTTATAATAAAAAACGTATACAATCAATCAACAAATATATGAAAAATGTTCATCATCACTAGATATTAGAGAATTGCAAATCAAAACCACTCTAAGATTTCATCTCACTCCAGTCAGAATGGCAGCTATTATGAAGACAAACAAAAATAAGTGTTGGTGAGGATGTGGGAAAAAAGGCACACTCATACATTGCTGGAGGGATTGCAAATTGGTGCAGCCAATATGGGAAGTAGTATGGAAATTCCTTGAAAAACTGGGAATGGAACCACCATTTGACCCAGCTATCTCACTCCTCCGTCTATATCCAAAGGACTTAAAAACAGCATACTACAGAAACACAGCCACATCAATGTTTATAGCAGCACAATTCACAATAGCTAACCTGTGGAATCAACCTAAATGCCCTTCAGTAGATGAATAGACAAAAAAAAATGTGACATAAAATACATAATGGAATATTACTAAGCAATAAAAGAGAATAAAATCATGGCATTTGCAGGTAAATGGATGCAGTTGGAGAAGATAATGATAAGTGAAGTTAGCCAATCCCCCCAAAACAAATTCCAAATGTTTTCTCAGGAGCATGGGAGGAATAGACAACTCTAGATAGGGCAGAGAGGTAGGAGGGAAAGGGAGGGGCAGGGGGTTAGCAATGATGATGGAATGTGATGGACATCATTATCCAAAGTACATGTATGAAGACATGAATTGGTGTGAACATACTTTATATATAAACAGACATATGAAAAATTATGTTCTGTATGTGTAATAAGAATTGTGGTGTATTCCACTTCATGTATTTAAAAAATAAAAGCAATTTTAAAAAGAAAGAAGTGAAACGTTAAAAAAATTACATATGCTTGCAAAATATTACAAAGTCCTTCTTGCTTCTTAGTTTAAAAATAGAAAACAAACAGTCCATTTAAAAATCAACTGTATTCTAAAGCACATGTTCTCAGTCTTCTCAGTGCAAAATAATCAATTGGAACTCATTTAAAATGTGAAAAATATGAGCCACACTCAAGAAATTAGTCCAAACTGAATTTTAAAGGAACATCTTCTAGGAGCAGAGCTTTGCCCTGTGATAAGTAGTGCCCCAGGGCTTCAACCTAGAATGGGATGTTAATGTAAGGGTGGTTAAACTGTTCTTCACATTACCATAAGTAATGAGTGGATATTAAAATATTTTTCCAGCCATTTGATATTAGAAGTAGATGACATCCACAGTCTTATTACTCTGCTGTTTGAAAATGATGGTGTTTCCTCACCCATATGATGCTTCACAGTGTATGAAACTGTAGTCTTCCTCACCCCACTGATTTGGCCACATCTCTGCCCTCTCTTTCCAGATTTCTTTTGACTTAGCTGAGTATACTGCAGATGTTGATGGGATTGGCACTTTGCGGCTTTTGGATGCAATTAAGACCTGTGGCCTTATCAACTCTGTGAAGTTCTATCAGGCCTCAACAAGTGAGCTTTATGGGAAAGTGCAAGAAATACCCCAGAAGGAAACTACCCCATTCTATCCTCGGTCGCCCTATGGTGAGAACCCGCGTGTGCACTGCTGCCTGCCTGCATGGCGAGCTCAGTGGGTGTGGGGGGCGTGTTTCTGCTCTGCTTTCATTCTGTACATGTCTCATGGCTGAAGTCATTTGGGTGTGAGATTAACTTTAAGATAGACTACAGTGACTAGACTTGTTGAGAAGCATACCTTTATACATTGCTAACTACAAGTATTTGCTGCAATTGCCTTCGGGGTAAAATTACCACCTCACTTCACCAATCTGTGTTCATTCAACCCTTCTACACAGATCACTTTAAAAGAAAACTTAGACCCAACATTATTCTTTTTCTAAACTCTCTGAGATTGTGCTGAAGTGATAAGATTTCATGTTTTTATGTCTCTCATAAAAGTTTTCCCCTGAACCCAAACCCTTAGGGAAAAAATATTACTATCACATTTAATATATTTGTAAAGAGACTATTCATGAAAGACTTTAGTGATAAAATTTCAAAACATCTAAATGTTAAGATCCCCAATTTTTTTTCTTTCTAATTCTTTAAAACTAAAACCAAACAAACAAAAACTACCTAGAAAGGAGAATTTGATATATCGCAGTTGCACACAGTACAGTTGAAACAATTAGATGGTAAAAGAACAAACTGTGGCTATTACAAAAGTAGGAAATTATTAAATATTTCCTGGTAAACCTGATTAACTGGCATAGGAATTTTTTTTTTCTTTTGGCTTTGGAGTCACATTTTTTGCTACTTTGAAACAAACTGTAATTTTTGTTCTTTAAGATAAGTGAAAATCCTTGTCTTTTATAATAAACTTAATTTGTTTTTAAAAAATTAATTCAACAGGGGCAGCAAAATTGTATGCTTATTGGATTGTGGTGAACTTCCGGGAGGCATATAATCTCTTTGCAGTGAATGGCATTCTCTTCAATCATGAGAGTCCCAGAAGAGGTCAGTAAATAATAATTGAAAAGAGAATTTTAGACTTTAGCAGCAATTACCTTTTCAAATGTTCTGTACCCTGTGAAAAATTTTACACTTAACCATTAGAAATGTCAGAAGTAATAAATGAAGAAGTATAAATCTGACCTTGTTTGCTCATCAGGTTTATGGGTCTTCTTTTTTTAATTCAACATTAAAAACTGGGCAGGGTTCCAGTTTTACCATTTTCATTAGTAGGTCTTATCAAGCTTGTTTTCCAACTAAAATTTCCATGTGAATGCAAAGGAAAAAGGAGTAAACTGATGGTTCTTTCTGGAAGTCACTCCTGTTCACATAGACTCAAACAATTAGATACTTAGTGGTTTGGTTTGGTTTGTTTTCACATTCCATGAAATAGACACCCAGAAATGGCTATGCTGTCAGAGTAAATTTTTAAAGAAATTTGAAATCAGTTCTTGTAGTTAGAAGCATCATCAGTTTCTTCTTTCAGAAAACCTTGTTTGTTTGCATCAGCTTGTTTCCTTTTGTCATAGTTTTTGTGGAAGCTCTCTGTTTCCAGCATTAGGTTTTAAATAAGCTGTGCACTCCCATCTTACTTCTTGATGTAGTGAAGCACAAGAAATCCTAATCAAGCAAAGACACTCTTTACAAAGTAAAAATATCTATCTAATCTAATTCCAAGAAGTTTTATTCAATTTCACTATCATTTAGTCTGATAGTCTGAGAATAAAAGCCCAGTGTTATGATTTGTTTCATATCCAGCAACTGGTAATGCTTATAATTTTTTTAGTGAAACTTTATGGCATTGTATAGCCACCTAATTAAACCATCAAGTCATGAAGAAAGATTAAAGTGACAGGTTTATACAGTATCTTTAGCGTCAGTACACTTTTATTTTACAGTTGCTTAAATTAAAAATCCCCATGATGGACTGTTAAAGCATAATATGCTAGCCTGTCATTTGTGTTGCCCAAGAAGCCAGAAGCATTTCTTTAATTAATTTGTGGTTCTGGATGTTGTGAGTAAGGGGAAAAGGAAAAGGGAGATATTAGCTGTTCTTACCTGCAGCATCTGGTATGTGGGGTGCTCAAGGAATCTGTTTAGTGAATGATAATCTCTGCCTCTTTTCTCACAATCATGTTTATACACATTGTTTGAGTTTCTGTATTCTCCTTTTTAACTTTTACTTCTGGGTGGATAGGGGACTAATTGTAAATCAGGATAGGGGAGGAAAAAGCATTCTTAGGTTTTAGAGTAAAAAGATAAATTTGAAGATAACCTCCCACCCCTGTCCTTTGTTTGCATCTCATAAGGATAGCCTAATACTTGTACATTTGGGCTGGGAGTGTAACTTGATGGTAAAGTTCTTGCTTAGCATGTGAGGGTGTCAGGAGAGCAGAAGAATAACTATCCCCAGTACCTCTGTGAACAGTCCTTCAGAGATGTTCCATGTTTCTTCAGTTCTTTCCAAGAGGAGTTGCCCTGTATGTATTGTTCTGCAACTTGGGCTTCTCTTAAACATTTGTTTAAAACTTGGCTTTGTAGCACACATCATTTGTTTTATTACATATCTAAAATCAGTGTTTTCCATATTTTTACTCCATTTATATAAATAAATAATGCAGAAATATAAAGCTATATGTGAAACTGATGTTAAAGCTTAATTTGATAAAATATATAATTCCTAATATTTACACCATTTCTTTTTTTATACTTAAATGAATTTTATTATATTCAGATAGTACTACAAACACCACTACATTCAAATTTAGGACATTTTCATGCCTTCTAAAAGAAACCTGGTACCCATTCACAGTATTTCAGTGTTCCACAAACTCCCAGTGCTAGGCAACAGTTAATCTACTTTCTTATAGCATTTCTTGGAACTTAAAAATTAATTTTCATATTAAAATTTAACTGGAAGCTAGGTGGAGTGGTAATTGCCTATGATCCTAAGACTCTGAAGGCTAAGGCAAGAGGATTGCAAGTTCAAGGCCAGCTTCAGCAGTTTAGGGAGACCCTAAGTAACTTAGTGAGACCCTAAGCAACTTAGTGAGACCCTGACTTAAAACAGAAAATAAAAAGGGCTAGGGAGGTGACTCAGTGGTTAAGCACTTCTGCATTCAATCCCTTGTACCAAAAAGAAGAAAAGAAAAGTTAACCTGATGGCCAACATATGACCCTAGTCCCAGGGACTTAAAGAGGCTGAGGCAGGAAGACCATAAGTTCAAGGCCAGCTTCAGCAGCTTTGGGAGAACCTCAACAACTCAGTGGCTCTGTATCAAAATTTAATAAAAGGGAAGCAGGGCTCAGAATGAAGTTCGGTGGTACAGCACTCCTGAATTCATTCCCAATACCACAAAAATAAATAAGTAAATAAAAATAAAATAACAATTAGCCTGACAATAAGATTGTTCTTAAAGATTCATTGTTGTTTTCTGAGGAGATTTCTTTGCCAGACTGAGAATCTCTTAGTGGCAGGACTGTGTTATATTCTTAAATCTCCAACTTCTCAAGCATTGTCTGTCTGCTAATAAACATTCAGTGAAAGTTTTTAAATGAATGAGTATCTTATGTTTCATTAAAACTTCACTGACTTGAAAGCTAGGTGGTTCAAATGAGAGAACAATAGAAATTTATAGGATAGTTTTAAAGAAATATTATTGTAGTGATTTGAGATATATACTAGTTAAAGCTAAAAACTACTTTGAAATAATGATTAAGTTTGAACACTTTATAAACAGATACAATTTGTTTTTAATCATCTTAGTTTGTATACTACAACTTGCTTTGATATTTGTGAGTTTGTTTTCTTGAGCTTTTATACACAAGTCCTCTCAGGCCCAGTTATCACAGAGAATAAGCACTGCTTTTGCAAGATGGAGTGGTGGTAAACCTCAGTCTGTTCAAAGGTACAATCCCAAATGCCCAATTAGTAGAGCTCAAGTTAATGTTGTTTGGGGGGACACATATACATTTTCTCTAAAGAAAAATAATTGACAAGGTCATTGAGAATTTCTGACTTTAAAAAGCATGGAAGTGTTTTTTAATATATATATATATATATATATATATATATATATATATATATATTTTAATTTTAGGTGGACACAATATCTTTATTTTTCATTTATGTGGTGCTGAGGATCTAACATACATGGTACAGGAGCACTCTACCACTGAGACACAATTCCAGCCCCGGAAGTATTTTTAATATAAAATATTCTAGACCAGAGTTTGGCAAATTATGGCTTATAGGCCAAATTCAATCCACTGAGTTATTTTTTGGTAGATAAAGTTTTATTGGAACACAGGCTCATTTGTTTACATGTCATCAATGCCTGTAGTCTGCAAAGCCTGAAATATTTACTGTCTGGGTGTTTAAGAAAACATTTGCTGGTCCCAGCTATAGATAGATCCTCAACATCCAAGAAACTTTCATTTAAGTTTATTGTGGGTTTCTCCCAAAGAAGCAAGGTAGACTTTTATACAGATTTCCAACAAATGTTAAAGTCAAAGAGTTAATAAGGACAGCCTTCAGCTGAATTTCAGAAGTATTTTGGTCAGTTGGGGTTCTGTTGTTCTTCACTGCTGTACTTGAGTGGCCACGTGCTCTAAAGGAAAGCTAATTGTCAGGGAGTTATGGATCCAAAGGAGCTAGTCCTGACTAGAGTTCTGCAGCTTAGCTCTTCACAGCAACCCTAGGTTCTTAGCTTTGACATTTTTTTGTTTTCTCTTAGTCTCTTGTCCATTCTAATCTTTTGGGGGTTCTATTTTTTTTCTTCTTTTATTTAAGACTTTATTTAGACTTAATGTCTTTTATCCATTCCCATCCTTCTGTATTTTCTTTCTTTTTAAAAAACTTTATTTATGTAGACATTCTTTTAAAGTGTATTTACACTGTTATGAGAACTTTATAATGCATCTGTAAATGATTGCGATCACCTGCACTTGTGTAGAATGAACAGTTGGAATCATTGATCTAGGTAAGAAAGCCAGTGATACAGTGACCTGACCTCTGTATCCATAAGTCAGCTGCCTATTCACTCTTTCAGAGAGTAACACTACCAATGTTCCATGCTTTAGGCTTACTCTGCATAAGATGCAGACACATTAGTAATAGAGTCTACAGGGAACTTAATAATACTTAAAATTATTTTAAAACTATATTTTGTAAGGTTTGCAAATGCATGTTTTGTGAGTAGATATTACTATGTATTACATACTGACCTTTATAGATATTAACAAGGTTCTCTTATTCATAAGCATTAAGTTTTTTTTAAAATAAAGAATATACTATTTATTAATTCAAAGGATTTTTCATGAAAAAATTATGCAAAACTGATTCTAAATGTGAAAGACTTCTTTCTCTCATACTGTCTCTTCAAACTTGGAATTCTGTATCACCTCGCTATGGAGATACACACATCTGTCTATTTACATTTATATAAACCGAGTGTTCTATTGGCCACAGATGTGGATGTTCCATCCTGGTGGAAATACAGATTTATATACCCTCTATGTAGGAAAAAAGATCGTGTTTCTTATTGTGAACTAATTTCTGTAAGGAAATTGACATTCTAAAACTGTTTGTCTTTGTGGTTAAATTTCTTCAAAATGCTAAATAGTTGAAACTGTGATATCATGTCAATTATGTAAGTTAAGCAATGGGAAAAATATGAAAAGATTTTTAATTATTCTGAAATAGCTCACAGTATATTTGAATTTCTTTTGAAATATATTATTTATGGTAATAAAATAGACTCTTAAAATTATTCTGCAAATTAAAACATAAAAAAATAAAAATATTTACTGAACCTAATAATAATACTTATGGTTTTGATTGTTTATTACATTAGAAAGTAAAGCCAGGCACAGTAGTGCATGTCTGTAATCCCAGCATCTTGGAGGGATTACAGATTCAAAGCTAGCCTTGGAATCTTAGTAAGTTTCCAGAACTTAGTGAGACCCTGTCTCAAAATTTAAAAAAAGATAAAAAGGGTTGGGGA